CCTCTATCTATAGCAAGCTTTCTTTTCAAGGTAGGTTGAAATTACTTCAGTTATCAAACTGATCAAAGTCACCAGGAGATGCGTTCTAGGTGGCTGTATTTTGAATTTTTTTTCCAAAAGTTTCTATTTTTTTGGCCCCCACTTTGAGATCTGAATAGCACTTTCTTGACATTTCTTTTTTAGAACTGCCTTTTAGGGGATTGTTCGTCAAGCAGATTAGCAATTCCTTTTGAGTCATCTGGCATTAAACCTCACCACCTAATGGTAAGCTTTTAAATGTTAGTTTGCTGTTGTAACAAACTCACTCCACCTTCGTTAGCTAGATTATCAAGTAGTCCGGACGACTTGATTAGGGTTATTTGAGGGTTATATAAAGTGGTACTTATTTTCTTCCAGTTACAATAAAATTAAGATTTTGACCCCGAAGAGTGACTACCATCTAATTCCTCCGTACAATATTTAACCCCTGAATCACACAAAAATGTCACAAGAATAGAGAAATTGATCAACAACTAAAAAAAAGGCTCTTGGTTTTTAAACAAATTCTGTAACAGTAGGGCGAATATAGATATTGATGTAAGGGTGTAAAGAGTGAAAAACATTGGAAAAGCTTGTTAACGTTTTAACAACGTTTTTATGAAGCCGAACTCCAATTTAAATGCACCTATTCTTTTGGTTATCAAGGTTGCCGAAAACAAAACCTGTGATGTTCTTTGTTTTATACAGAACCTGTTGGTGTCTGGGTGGCTGTTAGACCCGGATCAGCGCTATGACAAAGAAGAATCTATGTTTCACCTTCACTCACTGGTTTCAACAATGAGTTCTTTATCAGGTCATCATCACTTAGCAGAGTATTGTTTAACTGTGTTACGGCCTTTGTTTTTATAGTAAGCAAACAGCTGCCCTCCAAGATATGCCTCGCTTCCAAAGTGTGGCTTCATAGCTTTCGCTCTGACGAAGGGCTAACTCTCGAAACGTCAGCTCTGTAACTCTTTACGGTGGCCAATTTACGTTATCAACTCAGTTGATAATACCAAATTACCTTGTTATACTCTCCCATCGACGCATTATCACAGTTTATGTAGAAACTTACTCCCTTTATACATTCCATAGTGCTTGAGCATCGGGCTTTCAACCTGAAAAGGATTTCATCTTTTCTGTTTTACTCCCTGCCTATGATGAGGCAAGGTTTTGGATTCTTCAAGTTTAGTCACATTATACCCCACAATTCTCCATGCCATTAATGTGGCCCTTTTATTTTATCCTTCCCAGGAGGCTTACCGAGTGAGATGTCTTCATCGCAGTTACGTGACAACGATATTTCACCTTGGTGGGACAATGTACGTCAAACTCTGGCCCAGTCTACCTCGACAAGCAGGGCACTTTTTCTTGCTGCAGTTTGCCGATCTGTGGCCTTGGAAATCAGTACAGCATCAAAGAAAGTTGAGGTGCACACCGTGAAAGATTTAATTTTTTTTAGTGAATGCGTCGTTTAAAGTGAACTAAACTAAAGGCAACCATGCTCTTTATCCTGTTACTCCCAGAACGGATGAAAATATAATTTCTCTTCACAGTTTCGATTCATTATCCTATAAACAAGTGATGAGATTGAATGACTTTTATCAGCTGAAAGGTGTTTTCCTGTGTTCACCAAATTCTCATAATCAATTTACAAAGAAATGTATTGAACCAAGAAGGGAGAGTTATTATTTCTAATCAGATACTGGGTTGTAGAGGTTGGACTGACTGATCACTGAATGTTGTATTCTTACCACAGGACGAAGGGGACGCGGCTGACAGGGAGGAACTGGCCGCTGGAGACTGGATTTCAGTGTCAGTTGAGATGGAACGCTGGAACTTACTTATCTGTCAGCTGACCGATTTGCAAGCTCTGGCAGGCTTCATCAAACGATTGACGGTTAACAGTCAGAAAAGCAAGCAAGCTGTTGATAACAGTGGGTCGTCTAATCTTTCAGTGGTCGGTAAGAGCTGATAGCGTCCATGTTTTGCGAGACTTAATTTATAAACGAGGCATGGGTACCCTCGATTTCTGTTTTCTTTTAGAACAGAGGCGTCATGAAAGCCAATTTTGTTTGTCTTTCCGTAATATGAAACGAATAGTGGTTTGTTTGGCAGCAGACTGACCTCCTGAGTACTTGTCCTTTAAAAAAAACCCTATTTGCATATCTTATCTCTTCAGAGTTCTTGAGTAGCGGCCCTGACGCAGCTTCGAAAATGATATCGAAGTACATCGTACAATGTGACATCCCTGCAAATCATCTGGGAACTCCCCATGTACCAAGGAAGACGGAGACTGAAAATCTGAGCGAGACTGGAGACGATGACCTGCCTGACGTAGACCCTGAAACTGTAATCCAAGTCGAACTCGAAGGTTTGTTTCCGCGGGATGAGGCAGAGTGGGAAGGAGGAACGGCTTAATTTGGGTTAAACGGATGAACACTGCCAATCAGTCGTACCCAGTCTTACGCAGGGTATACAGGGCCTTCAACTGAGTGTCTCTGTGAAGTAAAAGCCCTGAACATAGTGTGAACTAAGTGATGCGGATTGTGCGTTTGTGGTACCACTCACTGCTTTTTCATTTGCTTTGTCGTTACCAATCCCTCTGACGAAGGTCAACGCTCGAAACGTCAGCTTTAAAACTCTAAGGTGGCTAAGTTACGTCATCAACTCAGTTGATAATACTAACTTACCCTGTCATTACCAAGGCAGCGAAATAAACAGATACTTGAAAGCCTCGAACGAAAGTGAACAAATCTTTTGCAGGTCTTAGTGAGTTGCGTCTGAGGTTTCCGCATGGTCTAGAGCAAGATGTACTGTGGGCTCATTGTGTTATGGAGTGTGTCACTTACTGGCACAGCAACAAAGAGGTATGCGAGCTAAAAACTTGAAAAAAGATATTCCCAGTAGATGAACGCAGGAGAGAACGGGGTCATTACCAATGAGCTGCCCGTCACAAATATAAATGGTTTTCAAACCGCTTGTTTCTGTGTCTGCATGACTATTTGTTACATTTAGTGCCATGTGGTTGGTCCTGGGTTCCTGCACCCATCCAACGGAGGCGGGGAATAAGGAGGACTCATTTCAACCTCATACGCTTCATCGATAGCTAACTGATCAGCCTCCTAAATAGTGGAATTTTAACAGTTTTTTTACAGCACCTGTTCGTTCTTCAGTGCTGACTTATATTTTCATTAATTTTTATTTGAATTCTTTTCAGGAAACCAACAAGTTATTATTAGCTCTGGAGCATTTGAAATGTATTCACGTTCCTGCGTTGCAACATGGTATGTCACGCCAGGTCACGCAAGGTCACAAAAGTTTTACATACATTTTTTTCTTTTTGTTTATTTTTTTCATAGTTAACCCTTTTATTTGTTCAATTTGATTTAATCTATCAAGCTCGACAGTACTCTGTAGTAAAGATCTTATTTCATAGGCTTCCTTTTCTTTTTCCAAATTATTTTTTTCGATTTTAAGGCTTGGCAGTCACGACATGGAAGAGATTCTTCAAAGATAAGATATCCGCCACCGTTATCCTAATGCAGAAGGTTTGTGAATTACGTTCATCTGTGATAAGCGATATTTCACAATTTTTCGCTTGACCATGAACAGTCCTAGAGTCTCTCTTAACTGAAGAGATTTGACCGAACTCCCCTTTACTTTTAGGTTGGAAAAGCACCCAAAGATCGACTGTGTCGAAAGGTATATGAATTTTGCACTTTTCGACCCGTTACTTTCGTAATTGCGCAATTTTCCATTTAGTGTTGAAACCAATTCAGGATTGCTCTGTTTTTGTTTCACTTCGTGTGGTGATTGGTCCTTAAAACTCGCACCACCCTTTCAACCAATCAGATGCAAAACCAAAACCAATCAAGACTTGGTCGCCCGCGTTTTCCCGCGCTTTAGGCATTTGGGTCAGTTTTACCTTGAGTTCTCATTGGCTCTCTAGGGTATTTTTCTTTCTTCTGATTGGCTGTTGAGATTACTTTGGTTTTGGTTTTGGTTTTTACGATAATCAATCGAAAAGAGCTCAATTGTGGGATTGGTGTTTGGTATGTGTGCCGGCAATCTAGTCGTAATTGCATCAAATCTATACATCTATTCTGTGGCCGGGCAGCCCAGAAAACAGAGACTTGTGTTGAATATTTTAAAACCTTGTTTTTTTTAGACAGTGGATTTAAGTTTTGGTGCGTTGGTGCAGTTCCTTAAGGCCACTGTACTTCTCTTGGATGTAATAGCTGAGGTAGGAAATAATATTTGAATATAAAACAAAACTATTGGAGGCAAACCATGGCTGGAGAATCAAACAGCAGCTTGTTGACATAGTATTGGATAGTAGTTAATATCCACAGGTTTTAGTTGTTGGGGTGTCTGGCGCTTTGCTTGTACAAAATCCTGGCCCGTTTCGTATTTTGTAGGCTGGTACACCTTTCCTACTTTTTGAAAATTATCCTCGGGTTTAACTGCTCCTGAGATCGTAGTCCCAGTCGCTGCAGTCTTTTGCGATGTCACGAAATGCTGTGGGTGCGTTGCGTGTCACGCTAAAAGACAACTTGAAATCAATGGAATGGGCAGTGCGCTGAATCGTCCCAAGTTGTCTCGCTAACCCATGTAGCGTAGGGCTGCGTATTGAAAATAAGAGGCGACGAGGGGCAATTCAAGATAACGCTTTGGTTTTTCTTTCCAGGTGGATTGGATGGAATCTCAACTAATAACTTTGGAAACAGAAGATTTCTGGCACACTGGTGAAACGTAAGTAAAGATCTCCTGATTTGATATGCTAATAAACAACTACGTCGATTGTCAGTTTCGGCCTTGTCTTGTTTCCAGGGGTACAGAGTCCCTTATTGAAGAGGCACAGGAGAAGCCAAAGAGTGAGGGACCACTGGTCCAGCTCCATGCCAAGCTGGTCACTGTTTTGTGGATTGTAATGGGACTGGACATGAAGAGCGTTAAACCGCTGACCCTCTTCGATACAAAGGTGGTGATGTGCTTTTTAATTATTTTATTTATCGATCCTGTTACAATAATCATTTTACGATACTGTCGTCAGATATGTTGTATAATGGCCTGTAGATGTTTTTAATTTGAATTTGCTTTAGATTTTTGAGACAGATTCATCTTTACAGTAAATTGAAGATTTGAGAGCATAGCTCCGACCCACAGTTACATCGTTTGGGTTTGTTTTGGCAAGGCAGTTTATTCTCCCAGTCCCAGTGCCTCCCTTCATCATGGAGTATCAGTGGATATCAGGGAACTGTCCGGGATACCTGACAAATAGCTAAGAGGAGGGGTGTGGGGGGTGACCTTGCGAGAGAATGGCATCTTTTCCAGCGGGAGTAGTAATGATCCCTGTTGTTTCAAGCTACGCGAACTAGGATAAACTTCGGTCAGGTGGAGGGGTGGAGGCTTGGTTAGTGTGCAAGATTTTTCACGACCTGTCAAGAAAACTAAACTAAAACTGTGCATAAATTCGCCAATGGGATAGTGGGTGTCGCTCAGTCAGAGCACGTTCAGGCAAAAGCTACAAGAAAATGTTTATATTAGTTTTTCTTGTACCTGTGTGCAGAGCAAGGACTCTTTTATGAGGGATCTCAGCTCTAATCGTCCTCTATCGTCTAATGATGTCGACAAAGCCATCGTTGAGACAAGAGAAAAGGTAAATGGTTCCTGTCTGATTGTATTTGTTTGCAGTATTATAGTTATTTCTTTCGCTTTGTTTCTATGTATATGACAGACAATCGGATTTCGTTTGGTTGGAATCCTAATCGGGAGTTGGATTTGTTTTCTATCTATGTTCGAAACAGACGATTTTGATATCGCATAAGTTCACCGGCCCCTTCAGAGCAGTTTTTGGTTTTTTGTAGTCTGTCGAAAAGAAAATCAACACTGTGTGCCTTTTGGTCGTAGTTCTTCACTCGAGCCCTGTCCTTCACGGTGAGCGCTATGTTGGCCCAGTCTCCCAACCCAGTACTCAGGCGAGAGAATAGTGATACTGACAACAAGGGAACGGTACCCGAAACAGCTACCTGTGATTGGCCGGCCGTGATCTACAAGCTTGTAGAGCAGTTTGGGATGGACAGTGATCCATTTAAGCGACATTATGTGCGGGAATTGTACTCCGCTGGTTTTGACGAGATTGCAAAACAGGTGAGGATCTTTGTGTCTGCAGTTCAATTACTCCAGTCATGGAAAAATTCACGGCAATTCTCCCGCAAAGAAAACTTGTCAAGAGTGCGTAAGGAATTTCATTTGAACCACCTCCTTGGCAAGTTTATCCATGGCAAGCTGGTCTTGTTTAAAACTTGGCAAGTCATTGTTTGAACAAAAGAAATTGTTGAGGAATATTTATCAGGCAGCGCGGTTGAGTGGTGAGCGCGTTGGACTTGTAATTCCACCACTTGATGGAAACATTCTGATCTTACGTGGGCTGCGCGGGGAGAAACGTTTAGCTTCCCTCACTGCTTGTCATGTGCGTTAAGTAAAAAGCGTGCAAAAACTGTTCACTCTTCGCGAAATTGTTATGCGCGCACCCGTGACTGAATTCAAGGCCCTCTAAATTTTTCTGCTTTTGGAAATATTCTTCTCTACCTTTGTTGAGGCTAAGCATACCACATCTCTGAAAACTGTTTAATTTTTTTCACCAGACCATGTTCTCAGTTCACGACCAGCGGGCCTTGGCCTGTCACCTTTTAAGAGTTGTGGGACAGCGACTAGCATACATGATCTTAGATGCGTCAGAGTCAGCTGAACGCGCTAATCGATTGTCTCGTCTACCAACTCAGATAAGCAGCTGGATCAGATCACAAGTACTGTATAAAATATGTTTTGTCCCTCGTGTTTTAACTGCAACGTTGTTACCTTCCCCTGATATTTTGCACCTTGACCTTTAACTTTTGCGCTTGATTTTATCCTTTGCTCCATATTCGAACCTCATCTCCTTATTTGGGACGACCATTTTTTTCGATGACCTGTATCACTTTGACCTTTCATTGTTTGAGTTTTGCTTCGTAGCTTGACCTTGACCTTTGCCCTCTACCTTCTAACCTTTGCCCTCTGTCCTCTGCCCTCGAGTATGGTCCTTATATCCGATCACACCTTTCATTGGTTTTGGGCGCGAGCCAGTGGGATTTTGTCGAATACTCGAATACAAGGCCGGCACGGAGACTTCCCTGAAGCAATGTAGCGAAACCACAAAATCGAAGTTCCACTACCTAAAAACTTTGCTGGTAGGAGCTTGGTGGTATACAAATTTTTTTCGTTCATGGGGCAAGTTAACCGAATCACGAAAGAAAACTTTGTTAGCCCAATTTTGAAATGTCTAGCAGGGGTAGCGTACCATTGAGCCTCGATCTGGTGTACTTGACGTAGTTTTTCTGGTGCGCGTCTTCATGTTCGTTGAAGGTGGCTCATTCCTGTTAATTTTTCTTTCCTCTACAGGATCCTTCAAGGTTATCCCGTCGTATGGTTCCCCTGTCACACACTGTGGACCTTCTGCGTGTGGTGCTCAGTCTGACACCGGAAGATTCCCCCGATTACTCACTCACTTCCGGTCTAACCGAAACGATCAAATTCCTCCTTTAACCCTTAATATATACCTTAACATCAGTATGCATATTCTCCATACTGTTCTCTTTACATTTCCCAAGGTGCTGGCAAGGAGAATTTGTTTAACAATCAAGAGGTACTTTTTTGGTGATCATTTCCTCTAGTAATGCAGTTAGGAGAATTAACAAGTCAGTCACTCCTAGGGGTCAAGGGTTAAAAGAGTAAAAAGGGTCTCAATGGTTACTTCACTGACCAGTGAGCGGTCAAACGTGCCCTGTGAGCTGTCATTCAAATTAACCTCAAGAAAAACGAATAACGATTAATTTTTACTCCACTGATTTAAGATTTGTTCCTAAGACCAGGAAAGCTAATTTATGGACGCGAAAGATCAACGGCCTTGATTAGGCTCGATTACCAGCCGCTCTTCGGGGATATGAGCTTGCGCCCTTTTCCCGAACCCATAGTCTCCTCGGGGAGGAGCGAAGACTGGGCACGAGAGAGAGCAGCGAAAATCGAGCCTACGGCCCCCCGTGGATCCATCATACATTTTATTCAGTTGCAAGATGATCCTCCTCAAGAGTGACAAATGCGTTCAAATTTCTCGATTTTCTGACAAGTAGTTTTTAAAATTATGAAATTCCTATACATCTAGTTCATAACTTAGTGGCCGACGAACTTAGGTAGACAACCAATTTTAAAAAGCATAGTTTATTAGAAAAGAATTTTTTTCAGCGAAGTAGGAGAAAATTATGAGAAAATGCCTGAAGATGCAAACGCAAAAGAATTATAGAAGTGTGCGAGCGTAAAAGCGGTTAGGAAGGGTTTCTGCCGAAAGAAAATGAATTCGATTTAGAACAAAATGAAATTGAAAGGCAGCTCGGAATAGTGCATAGTGAAAATGAAAGAAGACGAACTTCCATCTTTTGAATTATCTTGAATAGTAGCGCTTTTATATTTATATTTGCGCAATCAGACTTTGGCCTTTGGATGGAGATCTATTTTGCCTAGAGGCCAACTGTCTTACAGGTGATAAGCCTTTAGGGCCGGGAAAGAAGTTCAACTCTACTTTTTCTATTTAAGGAGTAAATTTAAAGAACTTAGGCTAAAGACTGCCCTGAGACACTTTGATATCATTGGGCAGGCCAGTCAGTTGTAGCGCCTCTGGGTGCAATTACAGTTGTAGTCCCCAGGCCCCTCAGGCACTTAGCCTCCATTTGCGACGTGGGCGTTAATATCACTCAGGGTGAGGCGTTCTCTAGGAGCCTTCCAATATCCATAGTTTAAATAGTAAATTTACATGTAAGTGGAAGAAAGTGCCAAGTGTAGGTTATAGTAAAATGTTTATGGTCATAAGTCCCTTTGAAGGTTGAAGTTTACTAAACAATGTTTCTGTTAGATTTAAAAAAATATTTGTTAGATATAGTTCAGCGTGATCATGATGTTGCTTTTGGTTTGCGGCGCGCCCGAAAGTTTTAGGTCTCCGGCTTGGGAAAGAAGAGATGTTACTTACAATTGGTGACAACGCCCGTCAACGCCTTAAATGCGCATGCCGACCTCGTTTCCAAGGTCCCCTCTCCTCCTCCCACAAGGGAGGAAATAAGAGGACCTTGGGAACGGGGTTGTGCGTATGCGCGAATAAAACGACCCAATCCCCCTTCCTTACTCCAAACTAAAGATACAGCAAAATTACAACCAAGCAATATGATTTCGAAACTACTTTATTCTATGTTTTTTAGGAAAAGACACCCACCGGAATCGTGTCTTTACACGGCTGAGTTTAGGAGAGTTATGAAGCGGTGGTACTGCGATTAGTTGAATGTAGTTACAGGGCGATACCTTCATGAAACAGAGAAAGAGGAGGCAAAAGAACATTACTCCATCATTACTACTGCATCGCATCTATAACCTGCAAGGATGCGATTCAGATTCAACAAGTCTTATCAAGTTAACAAGGTTTTTAAAACATTCGATCCACCTTTTCGGCAACTAGTCGGTCATAGCACGATTCATACTCTTCACCGTTCTTCTGAAACTTTCCAGAAAAAAATATATATTGTCTTTCATAATCTTTCGTCAGTCGTCTAGAGTTATATTCGTTATTCTCAATTTTGATGAGCTCTTTCTCATAACCTGTCTTTACGAAATCGTTGACATAATTTTGGAAGAAATCAGTTCATTTATCCATTCCAGGAAATAACAGTTATAAATACTTTGTTCTTTGACGAACGATCTCAAGTTAAAATCTCTAAATTAAAGCTACTTCACTCTCTAGTTCAACATAACGTGCATTCATTAAGAAATGAACTTGCCTACAATGTTCATCATCACAACATTTCGATGGTTTCCTACCGAAGCATGATTTATTTCTTTTACTATGTCATGCGCCTTAAGGAAGAACACGTGACAAAATTCCTCACGAGAAATCCGTGACGCTGTGACAACATTCATCTTTTCCGAGTTCGAAGAATCCTCACTTTTAGAGGAGGCTTGGTGCAAAACCCTTGTTGTGAGAAGGAGTTGATCATATATGAGAACAACAAAATAGTTTGTAGATCAAAGACTTCGCACCTTGCCTCGTTGGTACACCAAAGAAATGAACTAGCTTGGGAAATTGTACGCTGATTTTCCATAAACGCACCTTTCAAGAACTAACAGAATTCTTTTAGTCCCCATGGCAACCAAAAGTCTACAACACGTATAGTTGCCACAGAGATGGAAAATTACAATTTATGGTTGGCGCACAAAGGTATGAATCACCATCGTCTGCTTTTTCTTAAAAGATATACCGCAGGAAATATCTTCAACTTTGCTTATTAATTTAACTGCATCAGTTCTCTCCTCGTTAAGCAGCCTCTTGGCCAAGATGTGACAACTGCGGAAATAAACATAAAAATGATCTCAAAAATTCAGTGAACAACTCAACCATCTGTTTTATCAGTTGATTGTGTGATATGATCGTCTGGGGGAGAGTAGGCCTGGGAAGGATTGTTGTCGGTTGCCATTTAACAACATGAGCGGAAGTCAATATCACAGTCAAGTGAAGACTTACGTGTCAGTCGAAGTTTAATCACATTGTACAAGGTTGAAAAGAAAACAAATGAGCGGCAAACAGAGCATAATCATCGATGAAGACGAACCTGTTTAAGAAACTGAGAAGCGTTCATTACTTCACTAGCACCATATAACAGCTTTTTGGCACCGGAATGCCTCTGAAATGTAAGAAAAGTGCATTTAGCGAAGTTTGGCTGACATACCCTTTGGTCTGACATACCCTCCTAATGGAAGACAGGGTCAGAGGAGGCTTATCGATTTACCGACTTTTTTTAAAGGAAGGGCTTATGGGAGGGGAGGGGAGGGGAGGGGGAAAACTTGTTGAAAACTCATTTAGAACTAACATACGAGGTTATCGTCTCAGCTGTCATCATTTCAAAAGGAAACCAAAACAGTATTTCAAATAAACACAAGTGCCAACTATCCTGCAGGAATAAACCATTTGTATGAAATTATGCAAGAATATCAGGACACTCACTTTACTGTAATCCACCAGGTTCTGATATTCGATGTAATTTCCACCTCCTACGATGAACACGATCGCCTGTTGAACATGTACAGAAATTTAAACGAGGACCAACAAGATGATTAATATTTGAATATAATGTATGACTAACAACTTAATCACTCTTCCAAATGTAAATAAGGACCATGAGACAATTATTACCAAGAGCATTATTTTGAGTCAACAACTTAAAAATATTCGCGATCAACTACATAAAAAACTGCGCAAATATTCTTCCACGTAATTCTTACCTCATTAAACGGTGTTTTATTTCGAGGAATGGAAAAACTGTAGAAAGAAAACAAACATTAACCCTTTTCACCCTTTACTTCAGTTTGCATATTCTCCATACAGTTCTCTGTACATTTCTTGTGGTGCTGACAAGGAGAATTTGTTTAACAATCAAGAGCTTCTTTAGTTGTTGATCATCTCCCTCATTCTCGTGGCCTTAATGTGTGATTCAGGGGTGATATTGTGAGAGAAAATAGATGACAGTCACTCGCAGCGGTAAAGGGTTAAAATTCTCTAGCCATAGGGGCCAAATGAACAGGTTCACACAGGGGTACAGGGGTCTCTCTCGCATGAAAGCTTTTATTCTTATTTTTTTCCCCTCATGAATGTCATAAATATAATGCACAGATTTACTTTTTTAATAATTATTACCTGTCTGTGACCCGTAACATTTTTGGATCAAAATATCTGTACTCGTCAGTTTCCTTGAAAACAAAAGGGTTTGGACAGAAAAATCAACGATTAAGAAAGTTTTCTCCAATCTACCGAAAAGCAGTTTTAACTTTAAGAAGTAATTTTGTGGCCAATCAGATAAAAGCTACTGAGAAGTACTTAAAATAATATTGTTTTGCAATAATCTGTTAAATAAATGTTAAGTTATTTTATTTATAAATTAAAATTCATCTTCTTCACGAAGCAAAAGGTAAGAATAAGATCAGGGAACGAAGCACATGATACCTGCAGAGAAAAGAGTTACACAGCATAAAATTTGTCTCACGAGATGCTCTGAAAATACATGAAAACAGTGCGGTGAACCATTAGTAAGACAAGCCCTCATTCTTACCGGACTTGACTTGTTATCCATTAGAGCGTCGACAATCCGTGTGACTGGTAAATTCTGTTGAGGAAAATTGAACAAATGGCTTGTTATCTCTTTTTTTAAAGTCACTGCTTATCATTATCTGATACCCATTTAGAAAAAATTATATCCGAAAGATCCCTGTTTCCAAGAGACCATTCAAGTCACTTATATACTTCTAAAACATTTTTTAAGCAGCGATCCGCCACTCACCTTGTTTCCGACCACAAGGTTCTTCACACCCTCCATAACGAATTGTGATCCGGTGTTCATGAATCGTGAAAACATTGCACTGAAAAAAAAAAAAGACAACAAAGCTGTTTGTAGCTATAGATATAATGGCAAGACCACAGCCACTGGAATGCTTTTCAATATAGTTTTGCATCTGATTAGTCGAGAAAGAAGCGCGAGCTTCTCGGCCTGTCAACCAACTTGATGAGGTAAAACCAATGCAATCGCGGATTACTTCTACATTAACTAAAAACTAACAAAAAAATTGGTGTGCTTCTGAGAGGCAATCACAACCACAAAAGTAATCAAGGCAAGAACAGCAGAAAACGCTTGTACTGCTAGGATCGCCCAGGTGTAAAGTAATTAATGTAGTCCTTGAACTCTCACTTCCGCCAGCGGACAGGGGTGTAGCCACGCCCAGGTTCAACCCCTCCCCAGGGCCGGAAAGGTAGATTCAAGGGCAAAGCCAGGTCGAAAGCGTTCCATGTCAGTGTAAGTGGGTAATGAGAGGACATCCTCTCAGTCTTACATTACCTTAACCTTCCACACCCTGAGATGAGTATGCATATTCTCCATACCTTTCTCTATACATTTCCTTACGTGACGACATGGAGAATTTGTTTATCAGTCGAGAGCTTCTTCAGTTGGTGATAATTTCCTTAATTTCCGTGACCTTACTGTGTGATTCAGGGATGCTAATGTAAGACGAAACGAGATGGTAGTAACTCTTACAGGTCAAAGGGTTAGTTTCTCACCTGTATGTGTTTTGTCCTCCTCCCCCTGACTGGAGAGGTCCAACTGTCATCTTGGAAAACGCTCTGAGAACAAAAACAAGGGAAATATCTTCATTTTGGAGTTTCTTTTCAGTTTATCTTACCTGGCTCAATGAC